GTTGTTTAACTATCTAAGCGTATTATTGAAAAATGCGCATTTCAATATTGATTCCAAATCTGTCCTTCGTATCCTTGAAACTTGATTTCAAGGAGAGTTATAAGGGTTTGTTTCAATGGATGTCCTCGCTAAGTTTCCTTGGATCCTTGCCAAAATCTTCTCCATAGCGCTTGCTATCCTAATTATCTCCTACGGCTACAGGCGGCAGGCCTTTGGTTCCTCCTGCACCGCATCCGTGCAGAATTGGTTTCCCGATATTCTTTTCTTAAAACTCTTCTCGAAGATCCCAGATGCAGGGTTTTTTCAAGAAGGGGCTTTTGGTTTGTGCAAGCGAAAAGGGAGTGATTTGGAATCTGATTAGCAATTATTGAAGATAGTGAGCCAAGTAAATAGATCTCCATCACAATCTGTCAAATTGTATTGAGTGTCTGACACTGGATCCACTGGATTAATCACTCGCAATTTACGGTGCAACCTGTCTTCTGGCAATCAGATCCTTCGTAAAAACGAAGTCGCAAACGAAGCTTAGAGAATCATCGTGGGTAAGCGGTCATGCAGTTTAAAGACAAGCGGGAGCCGAAAAAATGTTCGCTATTCTTGCTGTCCGCTTGCAGATATTTGGAAGAATGTTAGGCATTTTCTAGGCGAACTTGTAGGGATTATTATGAGATTAGTTGCGGACAGCGGCCTCACTGCCGTGGATTTTCCGCGAGAATACGCAAAAATGTTGGGGGCCGCACGGTCCTTTGTAAAGGAACGCATAGCCCGTAGCTACCTTCCGCTGAGAGAAGGTACCCCAAACTCGGTAACCAAAACATTCGATGACATCTCTGTTACGTAAAGTTTTACCTTGGCTCGGAGTACGTCCGAAATTACGTGAAAAAAAGTCCGAGCACCTGCTGAAAGTTGCCAGCGCTCGCTGGAAAAATTGTTTGACGAGCGCTCGCAGGAAATTCTGTATTGCTGCCCGCTGGCAGGACACGGAAGTGCCGCTTGCTGAAAGTTTGGTTCGGCCATGCCCCAAAGTTTTGCTGACCGGTTGCAGAGAAGCGCGAGTTCGGCGAACCGCCTGCCCCTCGGCGATTATGTGAGGTGTATCAAAATCATCTCCCTCATAGTCTGAGCAGAGCACGGCCGTCATTCTCGAACTGGGAGGAATTAGGTTTGAAGCCATCAATTACCAAGTCGAGAAAATATAGTCAGAGAGCTGAGATGTTTGCTGAGCAGAGCTGCTTTCAAAGATTGTTTTGAAAACTATAAAGGCATGTTGCATTCACTTTTTATCTTTGAGGAAAGAACGAACTCGTAGTAATGCTGAACGTGAATACACTTTTCTGTTGTCCCGCTGCAAAACTATTTTGCGCAAAGCGCTTATTACCTTCGGTTTTAGCCTCGAGCTAACTTCTGCAAAGTTCCACCACATTCATTGCGTGAACATCTTTTTGTCTGCTGATTACACTTCTAGAGGTTGTTTTGCATAGTGGCACTTGTTCCAAGTAGTATGGAGTATGTGTAGAGTACGGTAGTCTATGTATAGAGGGCTCGCAGTAATCAGGGCCCGACACGAGGTGACAAATGACAGGCCGACAATTGTTTTGGGGTGAAAAAGCAAAGGAGATATTGTTTTGCGGGATCCGAGGCAAAGCCCTGGAAAAATTGGTAGTCCATGCTCTCTGCTTATCTTGACATGTTAGGGTTGCGCCAGACTGCGCGGCGTACGCGACGTACGCAGCGTACGCCGCGTATGCTCCTATGATGAAATATACCGAGCGTACGCTGCGTACGCCGCGTACTCCGCTTCCCCGCGAAGTCTGGCTCAACCCTTATATGCCTCAGCAGGCGAACACTGGAGTTCGCGCGCGTCAAACCGCGCCGTCACTAATTGTTGCAAGCGCGACATCGCTTAAATGATGCTATTTGCATTTAGATCTCTAATGAATGCTCAACGATATGATACTAAATTTTTTAAGCGAGCCAGAGGAGGCTAGTGGAAACAAAGCATATAATATTATGAGTAAGTTATGTGAATGAAGAGCGTGAACACCTTCTTTCCAAATTAAATGGGCAATTGCCTACCTAATGCCCACCTGATGTAGGCGAAGCTTCCGCTACACATAAGTTTTTCAAAATTTTCACATAAACGTGTTCTACACCTAAGGCCCGTATGCACGTACATCCCCGCGGGGAGGGGGGGGGGATCTGAGAGGAAAAGCGTCATATCTCGCTAGTCTACATATCTTTCTCCTTCTTTCTCTATCTTGCTTATGAAGTTTCTCATACGCTGATGCCTGCGCATAACGGATGCTAGGTTACTGCCATACAAGATTAGATATTCACTATATCTTCTGATCCCCTGGGGATCCCCAGGGGATCAAACGAAATAGTGAATATCTAATCTTGAATGGCAGTAACCTGGCATCCATTATGCGCAAGTATATGTGTATGAGAACCTTCAGAAGCAAGACAGAGAAAGAAGAAGAAAGATACAAGGACTAGCGAGATATGTACATGCATACGGGCCTAAGTTTAGTATAAAGTAGCTTTTTGGTTTCAAAACTCCTAATCTCCTCCTTGTTAGGATCTGGAGCCAGGGCCCGGCACGCGTTGGTTTGGAGGCTTTCAGGAAACGAAGTTCCCCATGACTTCGCGAAAATTTACGAAATCCCTCTCGACGTGAAAATCAGTAGGGAAACCTTTATTCAACCAAAATAGCAACAAAAAAGCGAAAAAAGCGCATTTTGAGATATGTAATAACAAAAAAGCAAAAAGAAAACATTTCGAGTCGATTAGAGGCTCTGCCATTGGATATAGTACCATTTTGATGCTGGGTATGTCGAGAATTTCTTCCTAGGCCAACCAAATCTGTAGCCTCAACAATCCTGCGATGCATTTTTTGCCACATATTTCAAAGGACACCGCAAGTGATTGGAGCGCGATATCTATCAACGCGTAGAATTATACTACTTTTGACTCAAAAAAGGGAAGAGGCAACGGTTTGATCAGCTCTCTTCACTACATGATAGATTTTTGACCGTTCTAGTCGTCCAAATCAAAAAGGTCCAAAACTTATGTGAACTCTCCGATATTTATGCTCCAAATCAACCCAGTTGGTTTGGTAGTTGATCTAGAAACCAACAAATTCGAGAACGGATGTTAGGACACACAAGTTTTGGGAACTTTTTACATAACATAGTTTGGAGTAATATTGTATACTCATAGCCCAAACTCGGAGCCATGTGATTGTTTGTGCACTGTAAACAGGCCATTTGTTTGTTTGAGTCTTGCATTTGAAATTCGCGCGCTTGCGAAAGAACACGTTCAACTCGTGAAACCTGACATACTCGTCGTGTTTTTTTGGCGATTCCTCTAGAACCTCATAAAAACGATGTCTTCGTTGCTTCTAACTCCAACAACGAAGTCCAGTTTGACCCCAAACCACGGTGCCGGGCCCTGTCCGGAACATCTACGACGCCGGTCCCTTTGAAGGAGAAAACGCGCTTCAACCGAACAACCTACGCAGCCGGCGGGATCAAGTGAGAAATCGTAAAATCGATATTGTCAAAGACGATTTACCGATGCTTACTTGCCTCGTGCTAAGCCCTGGCAGTAATCCGAGAATCGTCACACTTCGGATTTTGAATTCGAAAAAAAACTAAGCGTGATTGCTAGCACCAAAAAGATAGCAGCGCCGGTCAGAACATGCTAATGCTGATGGAGAGGCACAAGATCAAGTTGAGTTAAGTCGCTACAGACAAAATTGACGTACACTCTTGTATTCTTATAAGGAAAGGATACCAACATTAGTCCGCGATTGAAGATGGGATGTATGTCATTAAACGTGTCTTTGAACGCTGATTCCAAATCTGCTTTTCTTTTTTGCGGAATATGTTTCCTAAAGAAATTTTGAGCGTTAGAATGTCTGGAATCGTCAAGCATTGAGTGGCTTAAAATCAACTAAAAGCTGTAAAACAATACCTAAGCGATTTCTATTGGCTTTGTTTCTTTCTTGCAAACAATATACTCGATACAAAACTGATTTTCCACTTTCCGGTGTTTTTGTATAGTTTTTCGCTAATTTTATCCACCTAAACTTTGGCAAATTTGGACATTCAAACGCTCGTAACTTCTTTGGGAAACTTGTTCCGCATCTACTTATGTACATCTCATCTTCACTCGCCGACTAATGTTGGTATCCTTCCCTTGTTAGCAAGTTGAATATTATTTTTTGCTTCTAACAAGGGGTCCGTTCAATCGAAGTAGCCTTTTCATATGAAAGATACGACTATAAAGAACGTCGAGCGCTGGTTTCAAATCTGTCTTCGTTATCTGCCAAGTCATCTGGAGGTTGTGAGCGTTTTTGAGTTGAAAAGTTGAAGTAATTAGGACTAAATCATCACAATTGCTAAAGCGATCTAATGCTGATTATCAGATTACTCCATTTAAACAATATCTTTTGTTTAAAAGATTTATACTCAACGCTGCTCTTTTTAAGCGCTGAAAAGACGATAAAATTCATTTACCTAGATTATGCGTCCACTTTTCGCATCAAGAAAATGTTCATTACTCTGCATGCAGAGGCACTCGGCAGATAATGAGAATTGAAATCACGTTCCATGCTCTAAAAAGTATAGGACTCATTTCAAAAGGCCACCTTGACCAATCGGACCCCCTCCCCTTTTAGAAATATCCAAAAAGACTGAGCAAATAACATGTAGGCACTTACCGTGTCTCAAAGCTGCGCTATCACCAAAAGTTTGGAGCTTTCAAGAGCAAGAGGAATAAAGCAAAGAATTCTTATCTCAAGAAACTGAACATCCTGCCGTATGACTGCAGCAGTTTCCAAAGCATTACGGAACGTTTAAACAATTTCTTACAATTTTCTGAAGATTCTTTCATCATGGGCGAGTATATAGACAGAAATTTGTGAGTTTTTTTTTTTCAAGAAAGGCAGAATTGGTTTTCTAATCGTAAGTCATGTGTAAACAGGAAAAATCTTTTACCTGGCTCTTACTCCCATTAAACTTCGTGCAGCATTTATTTGTGATTTACCGCAGTTGCGTGCATCTGAATATCGCATATACGGAAAAGCAATCAAAGCTATAGCATAGCAAGGCTCACCATATGCATCATACTTGTGTCCTCTCGTAATGTGGAGGATGATCAAAAAGCAAGCGAAGATTCTCATAGTGTTACTTTCTGACCCAAATGATTTTATTGGTTCTATAAAATGATGCAGTGAATATACAATTTCATAATAACTTTCGCTCAAAGACATTTGCCATTTGAGCAATCTGTATTTTCTAGTTTACTAAGAATGGGGTCAGGAAAACTCAATGCTCAGATCATCCAAAGCATATTTCATTATCCATGCTTCTTTTGCATAAAGCCAATCGTTCTCTATACGTAAATTGCACATAAAATTTTATCCCGGTTTTGCACTTGCTCCAGCGATTAGTTAAACCAAATCTTTATGCGTTTGCACGAAAAGAGTTAATCTATCGCTCAAAAATGTATCTTCTCAAACGCTGAAGCAGAGTGGTAGCATCAAGTAGTAGACATTTTCTCACTTATTCAATTTATATAAAAAAGATAAAGGGTGTTCCATTATGAGCATAATCCTCTAATTCACAAAAATATCACACAGGGTGTCCAAAAAAATGAACCCACTTTTTGATGGTAATAATTTTCTTGCAACGAAATTTTCGAGGAGCTTTGACTACCGTTTTGTAGAGCTGGCTTCAAATTAGATTTACAGTATGGAGCGGTTTATGATTTCCCTTCATTACTGTAGGAGCAAGGTAGTGGTGGCATATGGCGCCACTGAAAAAACGCCGTTTCGACGAAAATTTCCCAAAAGTTCAAAAAATTGATTACCAGGATTTCATGCATGCTGATTTCAGTACACAAATTTTCGCGCTTTCATAGAGCTTTGATGGCCTAATCAGATTTTTGACGAATAGCAAAAACTGTTTGTTGCGGTACATCTGATTGAGTCTCACGTTTGGAATTACCGACTTTGATAAACATAGTGTAGGAGCTTCAAGCTTTTTTGGTTCTATTTCAAGGGTAAATATGACCCTTATTTACTTAAAGGCAGTACATCGGCAGAATGAGACCCGTGACAAAACAAGGTCACAAGGTAGAAGCCCCCATATGGAACCTATGGGCCAAAGTCCGATCTTTCTCTGCCACTTCTAACCCCCGAAATTTCAAAGCGAAAGCAGCGCTCATCTCCTGTCCTCTCCGAACCCGCCCACCCCATGGATGAGTGACTTCCGCGGTCAGAGCGCCAGCCGCAATGCTATAATGAGGTCCCGCAACGAATCTGCGTCTTCGCCATGACGGGCTTCGCGTTCACTCGTCCATGGGGTGGGCGGGTTCGGAGAGGATAGGAGATGAGCGCTGCTTTCGCTTTGAAATTTCGGGGGTCAGAAGTGGCAGAGAAAGATCGGACTTTGGCCGATAGGTTCCATATGGGGGCTCCTACCCTGTGACCTTGTTTTGTCACAGGTCTCATTCTGCCGATGTACTGCCTTTAAACCCCCCCCCCCCCCCCTCAAAGTTTTTACCGTAATTTTACAGTAATGAAGAGAGATTTATGATTCGCGCCCACTATACATCTAAATTAAAGCCACTCTACAAATCGGTACCTAAAGCTTCTCCAAATTTTATCATAAAAGAGTTATTTACAATCAAGCACTTGCACACGCATCTTTTTGGGACACCCTCTTTCATCCAATATAGGAACTAGTAAAATTGTCGCTTAGTTGCACTTTCAATTTTTTTAGTCTTAGTAGTGTTTTTCCTGTCCAAATTTTTGGGCATTTGATACGAGAACCGCTTTCCAGATTACTGAAGTGCTAGGCAATAGTGCAAGAGAGACATTTGCTGTATTAGGCTTGAGTGCCCAAATGTTATTCATGCATACCAGTGGCGGTCATAGGATTTCGGGCGCATCAAAATGTTTTCTATTGAAGGTGCGTGGCGTTAGCTAGGCACTCCGAAAATTTCTAGGGATGGTTCCCGAAATCTGTGCAGGTCCATATTCTCGAAACAGCCGTACCCCCAAAAATGTTCTACAAAGCTGATTTGAGCTTGGAAAATTTTAGAAGTTAGTTTGGTTATCTACATATATAAGCAGGAGTCACCTGCACGTTTTTATGGCCATGGTAAGCGTTAGGTTGTTGCGAAAATATTAGGCTGTCCCGAAAGTTCTGTCGTTTTTGAAAATCGTAACGTTGCTTTCTCTCAACGATTAACTTCATTATATTTTTATTCGAAAGAGTAAGTCTATCTCTTTCGAATGCGGTTTTGCTGAGCTTCTGCTACGCACGGACTGCAGAGAAAAATCGAAAAGGAAGACAATACAAACTTTGCTCACTTTAAGTTAGGTTGCCAAAAATCGGGAACGCTGCAGAAAAATCTGAAATCGTCAACATATAAGCTTTTTGACCTGCTCTTTGCAACAGTGAAAAGTTTGGGTGTTTGGACGTCTCTCTAAAAGTTACGAAATTCGATTTCACTACAGGAAATGTTAAAATTAATGAATTTGTCACTTTTCTCGAAAATCATAACTTTTTACAGACACATCCAAACAACACAAGCTTCTCGCAGTTGTAAAGAATAGGTCAAAAAACCTATGTACTTGCGTTTTCAGAATTTTCCGAAGCGGTGCAGGTTTTTGGCGACCTAACTTAAGATAATAAAAGTTTATATGGTCTTCTTTTTCCATTTTTAACTCTGCAGCCAGTGTGTAATAGAAGCTAGGAAGGAAAGTGTTTGAAGGCAAAAGACTTACTCTTTCAAATATAATTACAAGGATGCAAATCCGTTGAGATAACGCAAACTTATAAATTTTCGAAAATGAAACACAGAACTTTCGGGGCAACCTTATAATATCCAATTTCAAAGCTATTTTTCGAATAACTTTCTTTCTTCAAATTTTTTCGATAAAGGTCGTGTATATCATTGAAAAGCTTTCTCGACGTACTTTCCAACAAATGTGCAATTAGAGCTTTCTCATCTTCATCTGTTATATGCAGTATTCTATTCAAGCATTTTGTTCACCTGCACTTAAAATCGAAATTTCATTTCTTTCACTTTCTTTGCCATAACAGGCGTAGATAAACGAATTCTTTTGAAGGCATAGCTACTTTATGGGATGTATAGTAGTTGATGCATAATTCCTGCACCAAAATAGGTACAGACCGCAATAATCCGGAATATTCCTATATCTCAAATAGGATTCGATAAATCATTAGACAGAGCAAACCTAGCTCTACAAGATAGTGCACAAAGTTTTGCAGCAGCTTTGTCCAAGTGAAGATTGAAGCCAAAAACGAAAAAGATCCAAGCGCCCCATGCCCGTTCAGACAAATCCTTCAAAATTTCTAACTTGCTCATGCATTGTCATTTCGTAGAAGCATTACTCCATGCAGTTGCTGTATTTTTCTCCCAGCTAAAAATTGAGAAAACTAAGTTTTCATGTTTTTTCTAAAATGATGCTGAGATGTTTTAGCACTAACAGTTGTGTACTACAGGACCTTAGAAATATAAGTGTGAATTTTCAGCTCTTTACAGCAGCTGGTTTATGAAAAATATCGAATTTCAAGCAACTAGGCAAAAAAAATTTGGATAAGGAGAGCTAGATTCGTCATTTCTCGTAAACTAGTTCTTCTTGGAGGCTGAAAATGTAAACTTGCATTGCTAATGGCATGTACTATACAACTGTTAGCTAAACATCTCAGCACTAATTTGGTAAAAACATGAAAAACTTTGTTTTTTCATCGTCTAGCTGAGAAAGAATACAGCAACTGCATAGATAAATGTCTTACGTGGAACATCTACGCGTGAGCAAGCAAGAACTTTTGTAGGAGCTTTTCAAACAGAGTTACAACTTTGTTTTGATGGGTCTTAAAGTTTTCGGAGGCACGGTTTTTTTTTCAGATTTCGGCTTAAAACTTCTCATAGATCAAAGCTGGTGTAGATGTTTGAGCACGAGCTTGTAGAGCTAGGTTTGCTTTACCTAATGATTCATCAAATTCTATGTGAGATATAGGATTATTTTGGATTATTGCGGTCTGTACCTATTTCGGTGCAGGAATTATGCATCAAGCTAATATATTGTTTAGTTATTGCATGATTGGGTTATCTCGAAAATGTTTGGATGAGAAATCGGCGCCTTTAAATAACTGCTGATGGCACTTAAAAATTAAAATTTCTCAAGACTAAGGTAAACGTCAAACTTTCGCTCATTTTTATAAACTTGAAATCAGAGCATTTTGCCTTATCTAACCATCACATGAAATCTCCAAATTATCGTAATTTGGGACTTCCAGATCTACCGCAATTAGGCTCAATGTCTTAACAAAAGAAATTTTCATTTTCTCTTTCCGCAAAACGTCTTCGTTGTCTTTTCCTGACTTGTACTACTGGGTCGCGGTTATTAAGAGCTGATTACTACAGTGTTAGCCATAACTATAAAGCCAACCCAAGGAATTACTGTAACTTGCCCTCTCTTAGACAAAACTGTCTGAAAAACAGCCATTTTGTGTGTAAGCCAACGTCACGCCATTGACCAGAGCGGCTCTCAGTTTCACTGATGTTGGCCTGAGAAACATTGAAAAATTTGAAAATCCTGTTTTGAAGGCTGGTCACAGGTGTAGAGCCACCTCCCATTACCAAGCAATACTGCATTGAACCTAAAATTTTTCGCGTGTATATAGCATTAAAATTTGAAACATTTGTTACAGCTAGAAGGTGTCGCTTTCTGAAAAGAAAATTTATACTGCATTTTTTGCTTCAAAATGATTAAAAACTCATATTATTTTAGAAAACTCCTTTTCAACCAAATTTCCGAGCACTTGTTTAACACAAATGAAGGTCCCAGAATCCGCTGAGCTTTTGCACTAATTATGGTGAAAAACGCTTGAGTCAACATTGCATAGTAGCTGACACTGACAAATGAGCCTCAATTCCAACTTCGAGGAGATGACTTTTCGAACCCAAAGCTTGAGTTTTAATACCCGAAAAGCTCTGTCATGTGCTCACTACATAGTAGGTACAACGATGGGCTTATGCGCACACTTTGAACACATCGCAATCCTAAAAATTCGGGCTCCGCCTTGGACGCTTTTTCTTTGGAAATTGGGTGGTGCACTCTTCGTAATCATCACCACTCTGGCCACAAGATCCGGCGAAAATTCGCCCAAAACTTTAAAATTCT